AGAAATTCTAGTGTAACAACAGAAAATAGATTTACGGGACACAGAATTAATCAAAAATTGCATTTTTTTGCATGTACACATATGCAGAATAAGGACTTACTACTTGCTTTTCCCCATTTACTTACAACAAAAAGTAAAAGCTTTATAGTCAACTCAATAAGAAAATGCATAATATATATTTTTAAGGATTGCCAGATAATCTTATAAGCTATTTACTCCAACTGTCTTTGCTTCTTGCCAAGTTCATTTTCATTACCATAAATACAGTAGGAACAGACTGACCTAACCTGAAACTGGGTGACAGGTGCTTTAAAAAGTCTTATCTAGCCCTGGCTGGCTTTGCTCAATGGTTAGGACATTGCCTCTCAGACCAAAGGGGCGCGTGGGTTTGATTCCTGGTCAAGGGCACAAACCTGGGTTGCCGGTTTGGGGTTTGTGTGGAAGGCAACCAACTGATGTGTCTCTCTTTCTTTCTATCTCTCTCTCTCTCACACATCGATGTTTCTCTCTCAAAAGAAAAAAATCAATGGGGAAACAAAAATCTAATCTGCTGATTGATAAAAAATAAAAATAAAACACACACACACACACACACACACACACACAGAGAGAGAAAAAATAAATGAATGATTCCTACTGATTCCCATGATAGCTCAACAGACCCAGTAACTCCTCTGGATTAGTACAGAAAGAAGCCGATTAGTTTTATTTCATATGTAAATAGCATCATAAAGAGGCAGAAAATATAATTCATTAGATTGCTTTATCTTCAAGCACAAGGCACACATTTTGAAAGTCACTTCGAATACAATTATTGCTTATGGAGCTCTCTCTCTTAGACAGGAATTTTAAAAATAAATTCAAATTCATCCAGCTGTGTATATTTAAGAAATACCAAAAAGTCACAAGGCATAGTAAGATTCAGCTGTTCTCATCTCTCCAGTATTATCAATAGCACATAATGAGTTAGTTCATACATCATCACAGCTGTGTAGGCCAGAGCTAACTTGGCTAATTTAACTATTCCAGCAGAGTTCAGTCAGGAGTTGGCTCTATTTTAGATAATCCATTCTGCAAGTCATATACAAAAGAACATCACATCCTCTTTATTATCATTAGTATGCAATTCTGTGTTCTTTCACAGAGTCCCTGTGAAGTCATCTTTATTACCCTCTGCACAGATTAAAAACATACACACACACACACTTCTAAAAGCAATTAGCAATCGAAATCACTCAAAACTAAGACTATGACAAACACTCCAGGCATAAGTCATATCAAGTAAAACTCCCTCTTTTATCAATATGCCTTAATTACCAAAAGAGAGAAAAGAACACTGTCCTCGAAGAAAAATTAACCCTGGAGTTGGGGTTTGCAACTTTTTACTTCACCCTCCCACTCTGCTTCAAAACTTTCAGAATTAGAAATAATCACAGGCTATATTTTCATCTACAGATTAACCCCAAATTAAGGTTTGCAGAATGCCTCTTCTTTATGGTTAATAATAACTATAAGACTTCTGGCGCACTTTAAAATGGATGTAATGTGAAAACCAATGGCGATCTTAGTTGCTAATGGGAGATTTGCACATCCTCCACAATTTCAATTATCCTCATCAGTATTCTACAGTTAGTGAGGCTCTCTTAAAACTACTTAGACTTGCTATTTAGTATCATTTTCTAATAAGGATGAATGCCTAAACTGTCAGAGACTATGTTTTCTTAATTGAAAACATAACATTCAATGTTGTTTTCTTAACTTCATATTTGGAATTTGGAAATTCTCCAAAGCCCATCCTGGGTATAAAAGAAGCCTCAGCATGTAAATACAGGGAGTTCACACATACAATTAGTTTCCAGTTGATGTTGGCAATGAACATCTGCAGATGTACAAAAGTAGAATGTGGGGAAAAGTAGATTATGTCATATGTTGGGGTCAAGGCAAAATTGGAAAAATAATTTCATTATAATCAGCCAAATAAGCATTTATTATTGAAATTCTCTTTATTAAGTAATTTTTAGTATCTAGAAATCTTGATTAAAGAGGCAGAATGGACTTGTGAATTTATCTAACTCAACATCCTTTCGAATTTCATTCTTGAGAATAAAATGAACCCTGTAAATCTAATTTGGATTAATTTAACTGTAAAATCTAATACATTTGCAAAACAAAGAATTTTATCTGCACAGCAGACCCTGAACTATGAACTTTCTCCAAGTTCCACACAATGAAATATTATAGATATAGTATGTAATAATGATTTATCAAGTCATATAAAATACTGAACACAAGTGAGGTTAACAACTGTCATTCATTTTTCCTGAATCCAAAGACTGCTGGGGTCTGACTTGGACATATACACAGCTGAACACACACTTCCTGGTTATGTGCAATCTGCACAGATAGACCAGCTTTACAGGCCTGACCACAGAGATTAATAGCTTTAGTCAAATAATGTGGTAACCATGTGAACCTGGGCTGCTCCAGCTTGTTTGTGAATCTCTCAGCAAGGCTCAACATGCCGTTATCTGCATCTTGTTGCCAGGAAACACAACATCGCTTTGGAATACAAGGAAAACCAGGTTGCAATGACCACAGGTCAACTTCCCAAAAGTCTAATTTTTGACACTTAGCTATCTACAATCTTATAACATTTCTTACAGTAGTCCATGGAGAACCTTCTTCACATTACTAACAATTAACTTAATACTTTGCTATTTTTATCAGGGCAGGACAACTTACTACCGTTACCACTGTATTAGCAACAATAATTACAATAATTAATTCACTCAGACCTTTCCTCTCAAGTGTCAAATAAACATTATTTCAGTAAAACTGCCTTGGAAATCAAGCACTCATTGCAACTACTTTATAATTAATCCAACAATATCCATGTCTATTCTTCAGCATTTTACCAAAGGACAAAATACCCAATATGCTGCTGACTTAAGAGTTCCTGTATTCTCTCCATCAAAATACTCATCTTGCTTTGCTGATAATAACAGAACGTAATGTGTTGGACAATAATCCTGACCAATTCAAACAAGAGAGAAACTTAATGTACCAGATGCTGAAGTACTCAGCAGACAGGAAATGTGCTTCGTAAGAGTGAAGTGGGAGGCTACTATTCTGCAGTTTTGCAATCTGGAGATGGGAAAGATAGAGTGGCTTTGAGAGTATATAAAATTAATTATCCTTTACATACCAATTAGAATTGCTAGCTCATGGGCAACAGAGATTTTAGACAAAGCCTTATTAAAAAAGGTTTTAAGAAAATGGAAAACATTGTCTTCCAATGCCAGCTTTAAGATATGAAGTTAAAAGTATTTAGCTTTATTACAGGATCTAAGAATTTCACTACCCATGCAAAATAGAATCTTGGATACATTCCATTATAAAGATAATATATTCATGATCAGGAAAACTATATTCTTGATATAATCTTACTTTTACCCCAAAGAGTCTTCTACATAATAATGCCTTTAAACCTGGGCCTCATATTGTTTCTCATCTTGTTCCATACATCCCTTCAAATGTCCCTTTGCATCTCAAAATTCTAGTCTCATAGTTGTTAAAAAGACACAGATCTGAGTACTATCTGCCTGAAATATTAAAAAGAAACCACTTATCCAATACTAAATGGGAACAAGAAAGTTTAAAAAAAAAAAAAAAAAAGAAGAAGAAGAAGAAGAAGAAAGAAAAGAAAAAAGACCAGGCTTCTGCAATGCCAACAATGCTTTGGCACTGTGTTATAACACAAGACGAACATCAAGACTAGCAGAATTAAAAAACTTGGAAATGGTTTACTGCCATCATTTGCTTGTTGACTCTCTTGAAGAGAGTAATCCAACTTATCTGTGAACAAAGATGACTGTCAAGAAAGTTTTTCCCCTGGACTTCTAGTCTAGGATACTCAGGGTAGTTTTTGTCCATATGGGTCATTGCTTTCAGTACTACACACATATCAGGCTATTCATTACCTGTGAAGCAGTCAGGATGCCCTCATGGTCTCCCAAATCAGGTAGCATGTATAGACATGCCCTTTTCCCCGAAGTAATTTGAATATTTACTCTTGGTCATACATAAATACCGGTAACTATTAACATCATACATTTTAACTCCTTCCACATTACGGAAGAAATAACTTTAAAGAAGAATTCAGATGTGGAAATTTCAGTTCCCTATCAGTGAATATTGCTTAGATATCCATACTAAAAGAACCAAATTATTTACTTATATGTCTTGCATAGGAAAACATGAGAAAACTGTTTTTATGTAAATGAGTAACAAAGATACCCATTAACATAAACATACCCTTTACTCATTGTTAAAAGACTCAGTTTAAAAAAAAAAAAAAAAAAAAAAAAAAAAAAAAAAAAAAAAAAACCACCCTGAATTATAGAATTTATTTTTCCTATAAGATAACTAAAATAATCTTAATGGCAAAAAGTTTTAAGGAAGCTAAAAAAAAAATATATATGCTTGAGCAGGATGCATAAGTTTGGAAGAATCTGAATCATTCACAAAAATAGTTTGTACCATTCGAAATCAAGAGGACCACAAAAATCTCCGAACAATACTATTTTCCTTTAAAAAGTAGCAGCTACTCAATATGCAAAACTTGAAAATTAGACATATTAGGTATGAGTCTTATATCATAAGACTCATCATGGACTTTCTTTCAAAATCAAGTTCTCCTGTATGATTAAAATTGTATTTGATTTACAACATTCAATGTACAGGTAGTTCTCAGTCATATACATATTGCACAGAGTAACTTCTGAATTGTTCAAATCATAAAAACTTTATTGTCTGGTTAGGTAAATAGCCTTCATTCAACCACTATGAAAAATCAGTACAACACACAGGCAGAAGAGTAACAGTGGAAAAAAGAATAAAACCTGTTAGATTATTTAAAAGAAATAACTCTAAGGTTTTAACTTCTTTATCTTCTCAATAGTATTTAACAACAGCTTTTTAAAGAAGTTATAAATACATACCCATACTTCATTCTCATCCTATCATTCTCTGGGTTACAGTAAAATCTTTCCAAGTGCTCCTGGGAATCATTTGATACACTCTGCCACTTTTGGGTAGTTGTCCTTTTGATCTGCCAATGATAGGGCAAGACCGTGTGGTGTTTCAAACAATCCCTGCCATAAATACACATGCCTTGCAAAAAATCCATGCAAATTTCAATTTCATTCTCTTGGTGAGTGTGGTATTGTAGCTGGTTCACCAACTCAAACACAAGATCAAGGGAAGCCTCCTCACTTTTGTCCTGAAAGAGCTCGGTACTCAGCTTATCACTGGTGTCCAAAATGTATTGGATTGTAAAACTGTTGTCTTGGAAAACCCCTGGAACATAATCCATGACTTTGTCTATGCAGTCAGGACTAACAGGAACATCACTTGAAACTGGGTGCAAAAGGGCAGCCTGAAAATGCCCTGCCGTAGAATCGGCCACTGTCCCTCTAATGGTTTCTGATGGAAAGTTGTGATCCTGGATTGGAATCACTTGTTCTGGAGCATCAGTAGAAGGGCGAGTTTCTGGTATTTGGTCCCCGACATTTGTCTCCTCAGGAATCAGGACAGGCATATTGCTTTCTGCTGGTGGACAGGATGCGTTGATTTCCAGGGGTTTTTTCACCATAGGTTCATGTAAGCTGCTCTCATCTGCATCCTGGTTTCTGGATCTAAAAACCCCACCAAGTGAGCCAGATTCTAGCAAAGTGTTTAATATTGGCCTCAAAGACCTCAGGGTTCCAGTTCCCAATCTCTTCTGATCCTTTTTCTTAAAACAAGTCTTCAATGGAGTGATCTTCTCAGAGAGTCTCATTTGGCATGAAAAGTCAGCAGGAGGAGAGGAAGGCTGCACTACACAGTCTGGCTCAGGTTCGGTGGTTTCCATTTCCATAATGTGGATTAGATCCAATTGCTCCTCAGAGTCTAAAATCCTACCGGGAAAGGAAAGAAGATGATCACTTACAAGCTGACAACTGGATGCCATTCATTCATCAAAATGTTTACTTTTAGTCTGTAAGTTCCTTCAGGAACTCCTCTTACATTATATTTCTTCTTTTTAAATTTTATTGAGAAGAAATTAAGGCTCCAGAACAGCCAGGGCTATGCCCACAGAAGATAAAGGTAAAAGAAAAAGAGTATTTTAGGCACTTGAAATTTATTTGTGGACTTAACATACAATGATTTGTATTTCTGCCGGGGTATGAATTTTTACTCTTAAGTCTAGGATAGAATGGGAGGGGGGAAATGAGGGGTAGAAATAAGTATATGTAACTGATGACAGCAGGGAAACCACATCTTCACTGCTCTGTGGTTCTTTTTACAGTTGTTTATTTATTGCCTTTCTCATGAGGTGACAAAACCGTTTCTTTGTTAAAAAAAAAAAAAAGTTCATCAAATGAAGGATAAACTTCAAGGTTAAATAGTGAGTGAATTTAGGTGTGAGAACATACTCAAGAAATAAGGGCTCTTAAAATGTTATATAGGAGAAAATCAGGAGCCTGAATTGAAGCATCTATTCAATTAAGTCCTTATTTAAAGTTTCCTGTGATTTTAGGAAAAACAAGTATAATGAAACCAATTTTTCCATAGGCTAATTGTTATAAACAAGAGTTAAATTCATACAACAAAAGGATGACCTACTGTATTCAGAAAGTTTCAATATAAACCCCAAAGACATCAAGGGTCTACTTTTGCAATCTCCAAAACATTACCACTGCTGGAGGAGGAATACCAGGGTTTGTTTAGCAACAGAAAGTAAATCAACAACAACTACAGCACACACTGTTTTAGAAACCAAACACAACTTCATAAAGAGACCCCTTTGTCCTTGTCTTCAAAAAAGTTACACATGTACTTTTTAAAGGCAAATGAAGAAATATTGTAGAAAATAACATAATAAATATAAACACAAGCCATATTTTTCAGATTCCTTATGAACTACTGAAAGAGAATAAAAGTTATTTCTTCAAGGAATCAGACCCTTTGGGGGGAAAAAATGGAACAAAGAATAAAGCCACGGAAACTTTGTAAAATGACAAATGGTATCTCCTCCATAATCTAGCACTCATTAATTCTGAAAATATTTAGGCATTGTGTCGAGTGGAAAAGGATTGGTGATGAGCAATTAATACTCTTCTCTCTTATCCAATAGACTGAAAGAGATATTTGATGCAAGGACCCATGACTACATCAAGTATGCAACCTAGGTGCCCATTACAGTGCCTAACACAAATGCAAACAGTTGGTACTAAGGATATTTTTGTGTATGTGTGTGTCTGAATAACTGAAAGAAAAAAAAAAGAACCTAAAGTGCCTAGTTCTATTAGATTTTATGGGTCAACAATAACACAAAATAATAAAATTGAGTCCCCAGAAAAATAGGATATTAAAGATCTAATTGAGTTCTTGAATCTGTGCGTGTAAAAAGCACATAATGATCAAACTCAGAAAAATGATTAAAAAAACAAACGAACACATCCCACAAGGTGTTAGCCTCCGTGATAAGTACAAAAGGGAAAGGTAGAAAGAGTTCAGCGTGAGCTGCCATTGTTAGGGAAAGCTTCACGCAGAAGGAGGGACTTGACAGAAGACATAAATCATCTGGAAAGCAGCCAAGCCAGGCGTTATTATTCATCATTCAGTGCTCTTGCCTCAAGGCACAATTGGCACAGATTGTGGTATTCCCTCTCCACCACACCAAACCGGCCTGTGCCATCCTCCACACACACACACACACACACACACACACACACACACACACGCAGGCACACACACGCACACATGCACACACGCACACATGCACACACACACGCACACATGCACACACGCACACATGCACACACACACGCACACCCTCCTATCACACCCCATCAAGGCAAAACAGACCTTAAACCAATCTTGAGTCACACACACTTCAACTTTTTCCCATTGTTGTCCTCAGCCACACTCGGAAATAAAACCGAAGCAGCAGCAGAGAACGGCAAGAGTGGCTGGAGTGGGGGAAGTCAACAGAACCCAGTTCCTCAATGAGTTTGCATACCAAACACACACACACACACACAAACACACACACACACACACGCACACACGATGAGAAGGGCACTTCCTGGGGTCCCCCTCAGCAGGAGGCCACCTACCACCACTGCTCCCCACACCTCTCGGATGCCCCCCATTTCTCGGGCACGCTCGGCTCCGAGCCCGCTCCAAGGGAAATCGCGGGCTCCGAACTTAAGGACTCCGAGGCCCGCCGCTGCCCGACACTCCGGCGGCGCCGAGCACGGCGGGTCCGAGCGACGCCTCCTGGGGCCCCGGCGATGCGCGGAGCTCCGCACCCGGGGCCGCGCCAACTCGGCGCAGCGCGGCTGAGGCGCCGCCAGGGTTCGGCCAATTTGGTCCGGGAGTTCCGAGCATCTCGGAGCCCCGCACCCCCAAACCCCTCGGTCTAGCCTCCTCCCCCAGCCCGGGATTCCCTGCACCCCAGAAGCCACTCACTCCCGGGGCCTTCCAGTCATTTCTTCACCTCGCAGCCGACCTTCCCAAGGGGACGATCGCTCCGCGAGTCTCACGGGGATGGGTCGCAGCACCGCCCGCCCGCCCGCCCCGCGAAGCGCCGGGAGCGGGGAAAAGTGGCCGCCGCTTCTCCGGGGAGGGCGACTGAGACTCCCCGCACCTTCCAAGTTCACCCGAAAACAGCCAGCTAACTTCTGGGCTGCAGCCCCCGGGGCGCGGGGCGGCCGGAAGGCTCCCCTGCACCCGCCGCGCCTCCCTCCTCGGTGTGCGGAGTGGCCCCCGCGGGGGAGGCCGCCCCGAAGCTCCCTCCCGCGCGGAGCCGGGCGGGCGGGCGGGCAGCGGAGACGCCGCGACCCTGAGGAGACCCTTCAGGGTCTCGCTCCGATGCGTCTACACCTGCCGGAGGCCCGAAGTGACTGAGAAGGGTACACCCATTCCATCTCCGAGCGAACTCGGTACAAAAAAAAAAAAAAAGAAGAAGAAAAAAAAAAGCACCATCTAAGTAGCCATCGCCCTGGATCCTCGAGAGAGTCGCCGCGGGACCGGCGCCCCCTGCCTCGCCCGCCAGCGTCCCCCCGCCGGCTCCTCAGAGCTCCGCCGGAGTCCTTTACCTGAAACCGGCACCCTGAGGGCGCCGACCGCAGGAGCCGAGGTGCGCGGCGCTGCCGATTCGCGGGCAACGTCCGCCCGGCGGGCCGGCGCCGAGAGCAGGCTCGGGTCCGTCTCTAAGGGTCGCAGGCTGGGGACGCGGGGACCGGCGCCCGAGCCATCCCGCCGCCGCGAGCGCTAAAAGCGGCGACGGCGCTCGCTCCGGACCCAGCTAGCGCTCGCCTGTCACCTCGAGCTCCGCTTTAAAGTGGCTTCCGGTCGCCTGCTCGCTACAGCCCCGGCCGAGGGGGCGGGGCCTGGGTGAGGGTGGGGCTTAGGAGCCGAGCGCTCACTGGGTGCCGGGAAGGAGCCCCGCCCCCTCCCGCGTGCGCGCGCTCGCGTGAAGGCGCGGGGGGAGGGGGAGTTGCGGCGGCCGCGCGCTCCCTCGAGGGGGGCGTGTCCTTTCCGGGCGGCTCCGGCCGGGAGGGTCCCCTGTCAGCGAGCTTCGTTGAAGCGGGTGGCGATGAGGAGGAAGCGCGCTCCCCGTGGGGCGGGCTCCACCTGCCTGCGGTTAGATGGAGGATCACTTTGTTCCGAGAAATCCCAGGCCTCCCTCCGAGGGAGGACGCGAAACGGAACGGCCCGTTTCAGTGAGGCTGGCTTTGTTTACGTGCCTCCTCTCCAGACGCCTTCGGCCCCAGTCGCCGCCGAACCCCCAGGGGCGGCAGAAGGCTGCTATGGCCGCGGCGGCCAGACGGGGTCGCCAGCTCCGTACCCAACGGGCCGGCCCGGCAGGCAGCACCAAGTATCCCCTGCCTCAATGGGGTCGAAGGCATTCATTCCTCTTTCAGGTGACCTACCTTTGGGGCTTTTTTTTTTTTTTTTTTTTTACACGAAAAAGCGCCAATAGATTTGTTTTAAAGCCCACAGACACCATACTAATTGACTCAATATCTGTCTATTCCGTGCTCGGCGTGTGCTAGGCTTCGCCTTAGACTGCAGCTCTGATCAACCCAGACACCCACCAAGCAGCATGCAGGGGCAGCACATACTCCCCTCTAAAAAAAAAAAAAAAAAAAAAAAAAAAAAAAAAAAAAAAAAAAAAAAGTATATATATATATATATATATATATATATATATATATATATATATTACCCCCATGAGAATTTGCCGTATTGTCTGGATTGTAAAGTGCTTTTATGGTAAGTCCCTATGTTGAACAGCTTTTCAGTGGTGGAGGAAGAAACACGTGAAACATCATATAATCACTATCTATGGGAAGGAAAGGCCCTGATCAAAATAAAAGGAAGTTAATGATGGCTTTATCCCCAACAGCTGGCAGAGAGAGGATACAATACGGCTTGCGAAAAAGATGCTCTTGGCCTGTGGCCTCAAGTATAAACTCATTTAATGACATCATTTGGAGACTTTCTGGGTTCAAAAAGCCATCTATTACCTTACCAGACATATGGAAGCCTATAAAAGTAGGAGCTGAGAGGTGATAGTAATAGATATATGGTTCTAAGCTTTTCTTAAACTCTTCTAAACCAAACCGGGTGGCAAACTCTTTTAAATCTATTCAACAAAGAATATTTATTTATTTATTTATTTATTTATTTATTTATTTATTTAGCAGAGAATAGATTAAGGGAAGGATCGCCACTGCAGGCTTATTTCAAATTGTATCAAGGCTAGGCCATTAAACTAAGGTGGAAATGATATGGACAGGATACAGAGGCTAATACAGAAAAGACAAGCTTTCTCAGGCTTAAAAACTGATTTGAGATAAGTCT